TTAGGTAACAACGATATATCAGCGCCCGTATCGACAAGAAAATTCAAATTTGAATGTCTGTCGAAAATAATGAGGCGATTGTTAGAAACACCGTCGTAAGCAGCCTCAGTCTTAAGCGGCGTTTTTTAGTTTTTTCCTGTGAAGCCAGAATGTTTTGGACATAGAACAAGATAAAGTACATCGTTTAGCCTTATCACCAAACTTCTTATGGTAAAAAACAAATTGATGTATCTTTAATATCTTATTTGATTTGTCTTTGTTACGCGATAACGATTAAATCTTCTATTCTCTCTAGACCGGCTTTTGGAACGATCTCGACGACACGAGAAACTTCAAGAGCTTCGATTCTTCGTAGCAAATCCGCGAAATCCGAAGATTTATTATTTGCATTATTGGAAACTTCTGCGACTTGCAAACCGCCGTCCCGATCAGCAATTTTATCGGCTAATTCCGCAAGTTTAACAAGAGGAACATCCTCTACTACGGCTAAAGTCGTTTGAATTCTATGTGGTAAGCGTTTGAAGCCAAATCATTTGCAAAACACTATCTGCTAAAGATCCTCCAGACAAATGATGAATTTCTCGAAGTAATTCCAAAGGCTTTTTATCATTAAGTTCAATTCCAGCTAATATTTGTCTCAAACGTTTTTCCTCTGAATCCGTAAAGCGATTTATTAATATTTTCTTTAAATAATTATATTTATCTGTTTCAGGTGGATTTTCAATGACTTCAGATATGTTTACTAAGGCTTGTTCATCAAGATGACGAATGACAGAACTATATTTAATATCATCTGATCGAATTCGATAAACCGTAAACTCACTTTCAATAGAAGCAAACCAGAGTTTAGGTTGTTTATGCCAGAAAGTCGGTAGTTTTAATAAACGAAACTCATTTGAGTGAATTTGTAACATAGGATCACTCACCTGATGTCCAGTTTGAGAAGGTAAAATATTAATATTATCTGATCCAACCTGATTTGATCCGCTCGCCAAATCCATATCAATCTTTGTATCCGAACAGGGTCTAACTGGTGATCTATCGATTGGCATTTTCCTCTTGTTCCAGGAATCCGATAAAATGATTTGAGAATTTCCGTGAAGGAGTAATCCGCCTCTGATGTTTCAAAGATCCGGAGAATGAATCTCTTAAAATCAGAATATCCAGCAATTCTTCCAAGCGATGATAATATTTCGCAGACTTCAAATACGACGATCACTTGGCACTTATTCCGCATCAGCCTTTAAAATGCGTCGGCTTTAATATCACGTCGGCTTTAATATCACGTCGGGGTCACCAAAAATGTAGCGACTTATAAATAAATTCACCAGATCTTTGAAAAAGTAATGTTTATTCATTGAAAGTATAAAGCGAAAGAACAAAAAGAATTAATATGTAACAAATAAATGAATGAATGTGTTGTTATGGAAATATTGATTTTTCTTAAAACATTATGTATATTAATGAATTGAAGTTATTACAAATGTATAAAGATGTAAAAAGTGTAAAAGTGCAGTAAAAAGTGTAAGGTGTAATAAAGTGTAGAGTGTAAATGAAAGGTGTGGATGATGAATGCTACAAAGTTGCTGAGGACCTAAACATATCGATTGGCTCGTGCCATTCGATTTTTACCAATGATTTGGGCATGACACGGGTCGCCACGAAATTTGTACCAAAATTGCTCAATTTCGACCGCGAATTTTTGGCCAAAAACAACACACTAATAATGCCGCAGCCACCGTATTCCCCAGATCTGGCCCCCTGTGACTTTTTTCTTGTTCCCGAAACTGAAGAGGCCCATGAAAGGACGACGCTACGCTACGATTGAGGAGATAAAGACGGCATCGAAGGAGGAGCTGAACAAGATCACAAAAAATGATTTTTTGAAGTGCTTCGAGGATTGGAAAAAACGTTGGCACAAGTGTATAATATCTGGTGGGGATTACTTTGAAGGGGACAAAATAGATATTCATGAATAAATAAATAATTTTTGAAAAAACACAAAATTCGCGATAATTTTTGAACACACCTCGTATATATATATATACAGAGGGGGACACTTCCGACCCTTTCCTTGTAAGTAAATATTACCATATATATATATATATATATATATATATGGTAATATTTACTTACAAGGAAAGGTCGGAAGTGTCCCCCTCCGATATATATATATATATATATATATATATATATATATATGGTAATATTTACTTACAAGGAAAGGGTCGGAAGTGTCCCCCTCCGATTTTAATGAGCTTTGAATATGTTGTAGTCTAGATCAAAATAGAAGACACGTATTTTTTTATAAGTGCTAATTTGGCCGTTAAGGGGGTGAAACACCTTCTTGAAAAAAATCGATTTTTTCATTTCTCAGCAAATACCGTCGAAGCGATAAGAGATATAAAGAAAAACAATGATAAATTATTAAATTAAGGCCATGTGTAACGAGCAATACGATATTATTTTATTATTGAGAAGAAAATTCTTAATTTGAAATAATAATTATACAAACGTTTCGAGCTCTACTTGCTCCTCTTCAATGCGCAAAAAAATAGTAACGATAATAAATAAATACATAAAATTCTAATAAAAAATCCGCAATACATAGTCAATATAAGTTATATAGTTGAGTCATAGTAAAAACGCAAAATATATTTACAATGAATTGAGACCATTCAAATAGTTCAACAAAGTAAGAACCCAATTAGAAGCAGAATGATTCGTCCGGTTATTCATAAAATATATTAGAACTATTAATAAAAACTTGGAGTGACACTTATACATTACTCCAGATGAACCACTTATCGTTATTTGACGAATGTCCCTCGATCTGGCAATGATTATGTTCATCCTCTCCAAATTATTTGATATTTGTTAACTGAATTTAAAGAATTTATTCAATTGTAAAATAGGATTCCACTAATGTGTATGTGAAAAAAGATTAAAAATTATAAATTAAACTAAATACTAAAATATTGAACCTTTATGCTTACAAATTGTTCCGAATAACTTGAGATGACGATGCTTCTAATTGTTGTTGGCCTTATTGTTAGTACTTGACTGTTGTCTAGTCTTTTAAAAAGTCGAATAAATAGGTGTCAGATCTCACAAAATAAACATTTACATAAGTCTAAAAATTCGATATTTCTTCTAGAATGTCGAAATACGCGTTGTTAAGCAATTCGGTGTCTGTGTTATTATTTATACCATGCCTTTGTTCCTTGATGTGTATCATTTCCGAGATAAGTCTTTTATAATAATTAGATTCAATATCGAGTATTTTAACGTTATCCCAATCAAAAGCATGTTTTTTATCTATAGTATGTTCAGAGACCACAGAATGCTTGGAGGAATCAAATTTAATATTATTCATATGCTCTTTTAGTCTAGTGCGTAATTTTCTTTTGGTTTGCCCAACATACGAAGCTTCACAATCCTTACAATTAATTTTGTAGACAACATTATTATTATTGTTATGCACGTTTTTGTCCTTGTGGACTTTAATTAATTTGTTAAGATTATTTAGACAACGGTATCCTACTCTGAAATCTGATTTTTTTATTGTCGATGCTATTGTCTCAGAAATGTTATTAATGTATGGAATGACGAAAAATTTTTTCTTGCTATTATCTTCTGCAATTTCTTTTTTTCTATTGTTGTTAAACTGACCATTGTTTAAAACTCTTATTCTCTTATTTATTTCTTTAAAGATTAAATGAATAGGGTAACCGTTGTCCAATAATATTTTAATACACAGTTCTAAATTTTTCTTATGATATATGGGATGAGATAATAACAATGCCCTATTAATAAGATTATAAATTACTCCTATTTTATGGCACATAGGGTGACTCGATAAAAAAGATAGTACTCTACCTGAACATGTCTTTTTTTGAAACCAATCTAAGTGTATGATGTTGTCTATTATTTTAATGTTTAAATCTAGAAAATTTATGCTTCTATTAATTTCGTATTCAATCGTAAATTGTAGTCGTTGATTGTAACTATTAAACTTATTCAATACGCTATCAATTTTATTGAGGACTGAAAGAGGAGCAAGTAGAGCTCGAAACGTTTGTATAATTATTATTTCAAATTAAGAATTTTCTTCTCAATAATAAAATAATATCGTATTGCTCGTTACACATGGCCTTAATTTAATAATTTATCATTGTTTTTATTGTCATACGAGCTTGAGCATTGGTATGTGATGTTTTGATTAGGTATTAATTTTGCATTGATATAAAGAAAAGTTTTATGGTTTTTAATGTACTTCAAAATCATGTAATCAGATTTGTCGAAAATGTCATATTTTTCGAAATTCCCCCCCCCTCCCTTTCAATGTTTGAAAATTTTTAAATTTGTCTCATAACAAAACTTATAGCTCATTTAACGACAAATTCAATCATATATAATAAAGTTGTATTCCGAAGTCGCATTTTTCAGAAATAAATTAAAAATATTCCTATACACTACTATACGCCCGCTTTATCCGCCTCATGACGCTTGTTATTCACAGCGACAATTATTTTTCTTCGCAAACTCACAGAGGCAACCATAAATTAGCAATAAATAATTTATGAAAATATATTTTTATAAATTATAGAAATTATATTTATAAATATAATTTATAATTATATAATATATATAATTATAATATATATATTATGTGACAATAAATATACATATAATTTATATGGAAAAGAAATGTTTTTAATGCATGAAAAATAAAACTAGTCGGACAAGGAAAATTATTGATCAGATGTCGAGGTTAATAGATCCAATTCTATGAATAAACAGATGTCGCATTCGCGAAATGAGTTGGTGCAATATATTATTTTATTAACAACTGCATGCAGTGGAACACATATTACTATTAAAGCGTCTATCGAATATACGCGAGCGCGATAGTAAATATATTTATATATATAATAAAATAATTAAAAGGATTATAACTTATAAAGCAAGCGAAAAAATGCGTCGGGATAAGAAGGTCAGTTGCCCGAAGTGCTGATACAGCCAGTATCACACGGCCAAGTCATCAAATAGAGAAAGAAATCACTCTCGAAATAGCGCTGAATTGCAATAAAATGCGAGGAAGGAAGTCTTTGGACTTCCTTCGCTTGCATTTTGATCACGCCACTTTAGAAATAACTGATGATTTTATTCCACCGCGTCATGCCACCGCGCGATTCCCCTCCGATAATCGTTCAGAACCGGAGGCGTTAAAAATCACCGCCTAGAAGCGGCGGACAGTCACAAATCAGTTATCAAATAATTAACAAGTGCTCGAATTAATTAACAAGACTAGCCGTTATCCTGAAAAAACAATTGTGCCCCACGCACACAACAATACAGTATGTATGTACTTTTTCGATTTTTAAAACTTTTATAGTTTTTTGCTTTTACTTACACTTTATTCAAAATTGCGGTTTATCTGTTTTGTTTTAATGTATTTAAATTATAATTAATATTTTATTACTTTATTTAAGTTATTATAAATTATGTGATAAAACAGTGTTCTATTTTTCATGAAACTCGGAAAACATAACAAATTATTAATACGCATTAAATAATAAAATATTTTTGTTGCTAATAAGTATTTTTTTGCTAATATTTATAAAACAAATATACATAATGTTAATAATTTTTTTAGATAATGTTTAATCCAAGAAATGTAGCAGTGCTGCTATACACTGCACTGTATATGACTGGGGAATTCCCAGAAAGTCCTGTTACAACAGATGAAAATGAAACAAAAGACATGTTGGAAAATACACTTTGATCAATGTATGAAGAAGCGTTTGAAGTTTATGAAGAATCATCATTAGATTTTCAAAACGAATTTGATATACCTGAAGTAGAACCTGTAATTGATGAAGAAAGAGAAGGTGACACATATTTTGTAAAAGAAATTGAATGTGTTGCGGATTCTGTACCAATAGAATATAAAAGAAATGCAGTAGAGTTTTGGAGAAGTGGAACAAAAAAGTCAAGAACTCTTGCAACTATAAGAAATAGATTTCGGAAAGTCACGTCATTACGTCAATTAAGAAGATGGGAGCAGCAAGTAAATCAAAGTGGCAGCAGATTTGATAAACTGAAAAAATTTCAACATATACGTTAAATAAATTCCATGAAGGTATTGAAAAGGGAATAATTATTCATGACATTGATATTGCTCGATGGGCTATTCGCGCACAGAAGGAAGTAAATCTACTTGGGTTTACAGCATCATTATCATGGGTAAAAAGGTTTAAGCTTGCACATAATATCGTATCTAGAAAAATTACAAAATTTATAACAAAAAAACATTTAGCGTCAGACAAAGATTTAGAAGCACGAAGCAAGTCATTTATCGAAAATGTTAAATCTTTTATTATACAATATGGAATTGAAAATGTATATAATTCGGACCAAAGTGGATTTCAATTAGAATTTCATTTCGGTCGTTCACTATCACCTATTGGTATTAAAAAAGTAGAGCGCATAGTACAATCCATATCAGCAACTACACATAGTTATACTATACAACCTATTGTTTCAGCTGATGGTAGATTATTATCGCCTCTGTTTATTGTTTTAAAAGAACCTACTGGAACATTTGTAAAAGAAACAATGTTTAAAGATAATAATATCTTTGTCATGGCATCAAAATCTGGAAAATTAACATCGCATCATTTTGAGATCTGGATAAAAGAAGTGTTTTTTCCAAATGTTGGACCAAAATCAGTGTTATTATTAGATTCTTGGACTGGTCATTGTCCTGATATAATTCAAAGAAACAAACCAGATTTTATAGACAATATTAATTTGTTAACTATACCAGCTGGAGCAACGGGAAAAATACAACCTTTAGATGTATTCGGTTTTCGTTTATGGAAAAATTTTGTTAGACATTTTTCAGATACCATCATGCTTTTAGATCTTGACGTCAAGCTTCATTCAAGAAACAATATTTTAAAATTACAATCATTAACACATAATCAATTTTCATCACCAAGGTTTAAAAATTTATTCAAATATGCATGGTATAAAAGTGGTTATTTAGAAAAGAAACCAGAAGAATTTGATACACCAGTAGATTTTTGTTTCAAAATTAATTTAAAACCAACATGTGATATTTGCGGTGAAATTGCTGTAATTTCTTGCGCATGGTGTAAAACATCCCTTTGTATAAATCATTTCTTTCATGATCATCATCTTTGTAACCGATATCAACCATGAATATTTTTTATTCTTGTATGCAATAATTATGTACGGTATTTTATGTAATATTTCCATATACCATACATATATATAATGACTTAATAATGTAAGACAATGTGTATTACATTTACTTTATACTTTAAGAAATTAAATATTATAAAACAGAATATTTTGATGAGTAAAGTACTCTATTTCTTTCAAGTATGTAATGTATGTTGTATATGAGCAAGGATGTTATCTGCAAAAATGTATAAATTAAAATATAGTAACATATAAATATGTTTTATTTATAAAACTTTTAACAAAAAAATGTATATTATTCGAGAAGGTCGCCGTAGCAGTTACCTGCTGATTTTCGCTCGCAATAACAAGGCTATTGTCTCGACAACGAACAACACAACACGCTCAAATAACAGGGGATATAATAAAATTTAGACAAATAACCTGTCTCGACAACACGCATGACGAGACATAAACATGTCGGTAGGATATACTTATTTTATATTAACGGTAAAACTTCTTAATTCCTACATATATATTATATAATTATAAATTATATTTATAAATATAATTTCTATAATTTATAAAAATATATTTTCATAAATTATTTATTGCTAATTTATGGTTGCCTCTGTGAGTTTGCGAAGAAAAATAACTGTCGCTGTGAATAACGAGCGTCATGAGGTGGATAAAGCGGGCGTATAGTAGTGTATAGGGATATTTTTAATTTATTTCTGAAAAATGCGACTTCGGAATACAACTTTATTATATATGATTGAATTTGTCGTTAAATGAGCTATAAGTTTTGTTATGAGACAAATTTAAAAATTTTCAAACATTGAAAGGGAGGGGGGGGGGAAATTTCGAAAAATATGACATTTTCGACAAATCTGATTACATGATTTTGAAGTACATTAAAAACCATAAAACTTTTATTTAAAACTTTTCTTTATATCTCTTATCGCTTCGACGGTATTTGCTGAGAAATGAAAAAATCGATTTTTTCAAGAAGGTGTTTCACCCCCTTAACGGCCAAATTAGCACTTATAAAAAAATACGTGTCTTCTATTTTGATCTAGACTACAACATATTCAAAGCTCATTAAAATCGGAGGGGGACACTTCCGACCCTTTCCTTGTAAGTAAATATTACCATATATATATATATAATATATATATATATATATTAATATATATATATCGGAGGGGACACTTCCGACCCTTTTCCTTGTAAGTAAATATTACCATATATATATATATATATATATATATGGTAATTTACTTACAAGGAAAGGGTCGGAAGTGTCCCCCTCCTGTATATTATATATATCGAGGTGTGTTCAAAAATTATCGCGAATTTTGTGTTTTTTCAAAATTATTTATTTATTCTGAATATCTATTTTGTCCCCTTCAAAGTAATCCCCACCAGATATTATACACTTGTGCCAACGTTTTTTCCAATCCTCGAAGCACTTCAAAAAATCATTTTTTGTGATCTTGTTCAGCTCCTCCTTCGATGCCGTCTTTATCTCCTCAATCGTAGCGTAGCGTCGTCCTTTCATGGGCCTCTTCAGTTTCGGGAACAAGAAAAAGTCACAGGGGCCAGATCTGGGGAATACGGTGGCTGCGGCATTATTAGTGTGTTGTTTTTGGCCAAAAATTCGCGGTCGAAATTGAGCAATTTTGGTACAAATTTCGTGGCGACCCGTGTCATGCCCAAATCATTGGTAAAAATCGAATGGCACGAGCCAATCGATATGTTTAGGTCCTCAGCAACTTTGTAGCATTCATCATCCACACCTTTCATTTACACTCTACACTTTTATTACACCTTACACTTTTCACTGCACTTTTACACTTTTTACATCTTTATACATTTGTAATAACTTCAATTCATTAATATACATAATGTTTTTAAGAAAAATCAATATTTCCATAACAACACATTCATTCATTTATTTGTTACATATTAATTCTTTTTGTTCTTTCGCTTTATACTTTCAATGAATAAACATTACTTTTTCAAAGATCTGGTGAATTTATTTATAAGTCGCTACATTTTTGGTGACCCCGACGTGATATTAAAGCCGACGTGATATTAAAGCCGACGCATTTTAAAGGCTGATGCGGAATAAGTGCCAAGTGATCGTCGTATTTGAAGTCTGCGAAATATTATCATCGCTTGGAAGAATTGCTGGATATTCTGATTTTAAGAGATTCATTCTCCGGATCTTTGAAACATCAGAGGCGGATTAGTCCTTCACGGAAATTCTCAAATCATTTTATCGGATTCCTGGAACAAGAGGAAAATGCCAATCGATAGATCACCAGTTAGACCCTGTTCGGATACACAGATTGATATGGATTTGGCGAGCGGATCAAATCAGGTTGGATCAGAAAATATTAATATTTTACCTTCTCAAACTGGACATCAGGTGAGTGATCCTATGTTACAAATTCACTCAAATGAGTTTCGTTTATTAAAACTACCGACTTTCTGGCATAAACAACCTAAACTCTGGTTTGCTTCTATTGAAAGTGAGTTTACGGTTTATCGAATTCGATCAGATGATATTAAATATAGTTCTGTCATTCGTCATCTTGATGAACAAGCCTTAGTAAACATATCTGAAGTCATTGAAAATCCACCTGAAACAGATAAATATAATTATTTAAAGAAAATATTAATAAATCGCTTTACGGATTCAGAGGAAAAACGTTTGAGACAAATATTAGCTGGAATTGAACTTAATGATAAAAAGCCTTCGGAATTACTTCGAGAAATTCGTCATTTGTCTGGAGGATCTTTAGCAGATAGTGTTTTGCAAATGATTTGGCTTCAACGCTTACCACATAGAATTCAAACGACTTTAGCCGTAGTAGAGGATGTTCCTCTTGTTAAACTTGCGGAATTAGCCGATAAAATTGCTGATCGGGACGGCGGTTTGCAAGTCGCGGAAGTTTCCAATAATACAAGTAATAAATCTTCGGATTTCGCGGATTTGCTACGAAGAATCGAAGCTCTTGAAGTTTCTCGTCGTCGAGATCGTTCCAAAAGCCGGTCTAGAGAGAATAGAAGATTTAGATCGTTATCGCGTAACAAAGACAAATCAAATAAAGATATTAAAGATACATCAATTTGTTTTTACCATAAGAAGTTTGGTGATAAGGCTAAACGATGTACTTTACCTTGTTCTATGTCCAAAACATTCTTGGCTTCACAGGAAAACTAAAAACGCCGCTTAAGACTGAGGCTGCTTACGACGGTGTTTCTAACAATCGCCTCATTATTTTCGACAGACATTCAAATTTGAATTTTCTTGTCGATACGGGCGCTGATATATCGTTGTTACCTAAAAAGGTTTTATTGAAGCCGTGGCATACTAATTTAAAACTTTTTGCCGCAAATGGTACTCAAATTAATACTTACGGTTCTAAAACTTTAATTTTGAACCTCGGTTTAAGGAGAGAATTCAAATGGAAATTTTGTGTCGCGGATATTCAACGTCCTATTTTAGGCGCCGATTTTCTTTGTCATTTTAATCTCCTAATTGACATTAAAAACAAGAAATTGATTGATAATGTTACCGGTCTTATGAATACTGGAAAAATTCAAGAAGTTGCACATTTGTCAATTTTTACCACATCTCCTGATTCTGTGTACCACAAATTTTTAACCGAATTTCCAGGACTCACCCGTTTTTCTCCAATTTCCTCGGTAAAAACACATGGTGTTGAACATCATATCGTTACGGAAGGTTCTCCTAAAT